ACTTGTGATTAGATAATTTTTCATAATGCACTCAAAAGTACCTCTAGATGCTAGTTCGCAACTTTTCTCATACTGAATAAAACACCCACAACCATGCTAAGATCATGAGCATATAGAGCGAAAAATTCTCCATGTTTTTTTTTACACAATGCTTAGATGAGCACACAGTGACACACATCGGTTTTTATCCATAGAAAAACAAGAATTTGCAGTTTAATAGTTCGATTGGTTTTCATCTCACAAAGTTTATTCCTACATGAAAAATCTATACGAAAAACAAACTCAACAGTTGTGTAGAGAAGCAAATTCTTTATCCAGCTGGAGCATTGCTCAAATTCGAAGAAGTGTTGAATTCCTGAAAGATAGAAAATAAATCTGCGACATGTGCTATAGAACACCCGTTATTTTTCAAAAATTTCCTCCAGACATTAATAGGTCTCCTGAAATTTTCCCAAACGGTCGTTCGTGTATGCGGGTAGATTCTGCACCTCTGCTTTAGATTCTACGTAAATATTCAAAACTTTGTCGATTCTTTAGAAATGTGATGTTATTGGACAACCTTCATTACATGAATGACTGAATGTCCAGTCGGAATTTATTCGTTCTCTCTTTCTTTCTTTCTCTGACTTTGTTTTTTAATTACGCTGATGACACGGTAATTGGCGGTAGAAGATTCCAATGTAGCAAAGTCATTTTTGAAAATATTACAATGCCTATAGTTTATCATATCATTTGAGCATCGGACATAATTAAAAATTTAGAATTTCAGTGTAATCATATACAACTAAAATCAACAAACCCATTGTATGTATTTTGTCGATATCCTATAATTGTTATATAGACACACGATAACGATCGATTCATATGATATAAGCGATACCAGTGTTCTTAATTTAATAAAAGGAGCATATTTTATTCATATAAAGAAAAACACAGAGAGCTAATTTTCATGGAAATAATTAAAATATTGTATGACTCGAAGCTGTTATTTATTATATATAATAATATTCTAGGACAAATTTTTTCTTTGCTCTCGAGCTATTCGTTGTATTCTTTTTTCTTTATGCTTCTCTATTGAATTTATAGATATTTTTCGACCTTATTACTTTATCAGTTTTTTGATTTAGTCATTTTTGTTTCTATTAAACTAATTCAATTAACTGTATCTATTATGGTTCTCGAACAAATTAAAATGGTTGCTGTTACACATTCTCAGGAAACGTTCACAAGGATGATTAAAACAATAGAAAAAGATCTAAAGTGTGAGCTTATATCAAACAAGTGCATGTAAGAGGCAATCAGAGGAAAAAAATTGGTTGTTTATGTGAAAAAACAATCGGATTAATTAATAATATCAGCAGTGGTATGAGATGTACATTGTTTTACGCGTCTCGGCAAGTCAGGATTGAAAAAATTTCTACAATTTACACTACCTGGTAAAAATGCTCTACAGGTGTATAGACTCCTTTATTCAACTTTTCACATTAGTTCGCTTATTGACCGAACCATCTAGCAAGAGTTTTTTAAAATGTATTCTCTCAGTTTCGAAGATATAACATGTGACGCATTTTGTATAATCATTATTTAACTTGTCCTTGATTCTTTTCTACCAAAACACTTTAGAAAATAATTATCACACGAGGGTTGTGCTAGTATTTTTTTCTGGAAAAGTGGCATTTTTTGTCACTGAGCTCGATTGAGCTTAAACTGTTCGAGTTTGGTACATGCCTAATTATTATATTTTGCAATTCTTTCTCAGACACAACTCTAATTACGGCAGCTATAAATTTTACTTGTATTATTTGCACAAACGATCTGTTTTTTTCTAATGTTTATTTTATTTTCTTCATAATAAGGTCTCATGAACCAGCAGAACGTGAACTTGCAGCTGTTCCAACAATTCGCAAAACCAGACATGAATTATTGAATCACAATCTACATCACGTTTGGTAAGTACTGCAGCTTTTAAAGGCCCTAAATGTACCGAAAAACTCCGCACATATTAAACATCTTCTTTTATTAGAATCATCCGCTGACTTTACTTCACCACTTTATTACTGTTCGAAATATAACGAAAAGTGTTATGGTGAAATATATTGTTCCAACACTAGTTGCGCAGAAACTCAAGAACTCGATAAACTTCACGCGTATTTGTTGACGTGCCTTTACAACCTCAAATACGTTATGTGTTATCTCGTATTCAGCCATGTCATTTTCAACAACAATCTAGGAGCATATATTAAATCATTCTTCAGATATTTCTGAAGCTGGAATATGAAACGATCGTCGAAGGGAGAATTTACTGATTTCATCCCTTTACTTATGAATGTTGATGTCAGTGAAATAGAAAAAAGCTCCAAGTCTTGGCTATGATTAATCACGTTCGTTATGATCGAATTGAAAACATTGGAAAGATTTACAATACAAAACGTATCGGCTGATGGGGTTGTGTCTGGGAATATGAAGCAAAAACAAGAAGAAATGACTTTAGATTTGCAGACAATTGCTGATGAGTTTTCAAATTTAGAAAGCTGACATTGTTTTGAAATTAATAAGGACGCTTCTATGTTTCTTAAGGGTTTTCCTATTATCATGTTACTGTGATAAACCTACATAATCGACCACTCAAAATATTTCTAAACCAAATAGGGCTTTTAGTCGTGGAAAGTGTTCTATCAAGGGTAAAAGACTGATTTCTTCATTTGCCAAAATCAGAACCTGTTGAGAATCATGTAAAAAAAAGAGATATTAAGAAACTGTATCTTTTATAAGTAAAAACTAGTTGATGAAAAGCAAGTGCAAGTAACAAAAGATGAGAAACTAATTAATGAAGTGGCTTTAAGAATTCATAAGAGAATTTTTCAAAATATTTGCAGCTTATTTCGTGATGTACTATTGATTTTAGCATTTGACTTTTAAGATAAATTTTTCCAACAATTAGACGGAGAAATTGAGGAATATTTGGTTTTCGTTCTTATTTGTGCGATTATTCTATTTTGCTGATCTTTGTTGTGTTTTTCAAATTAGATGTGAATTTTTTCCGTTCGGAAAGACGGCGAGTAATCAAAACCTAGAACAAGTTTTACTTATTATTTTAACAAGGTTATACCAGATAGGTTTCGACCTAAAACTAAACTGTCATCGGATTTTTATATATGAATGTATGGATGAATGTTGCATAAGAGACTAGCGTTACTTTGATGTTGTTAGATTCTATTTGTGCTATAAATAAATATGAACTGATCCTAGCCTCTATTTTATCGATAGTGAATTCATAAAATCTTTAGAATTATTTATTATTATGTATTCTATGTTGTTCAAACTGCCCGAAAATCATGATTCTGCGACGGAATTTTTTTTAATCTCTCTCAGTACATGAACTTTTTTAACTCTTAAAAAAGTGTTAAATTTCATTAAAATCGTAGCGTGTTGTTATTGTTGTTGCTTAGTTTTCGAGTTTGCCACCAAGTGCAGTAACTGACTTCTAGGTTTTTCACCAGCTTAACTGCTATGACAAATTTTTCTTCTTCTTCTCGACGCATTAGTCACGATTCGAATCAATCATTCGTTCTTCACATTTAGTCAACATTTCAAAACAAGAAAATGTTTGTTAAGATAACGAGGATGTATCAAGTGTACATCTGAAATTCATTTTGCACAAGCTCAAGATTACATTCGGTAGGTGTGAAAATGCTGAAAAGTATGATTAACAGCTGAGAATTTTCTGATATGCAAATATATAAATTAATTTGAAAAAGATCATTGATAGTTCACCTGTTGTATGCAATAGTTTCCTTAGATGGTAATAGTTGGTTCAGATTCATTAACCCTTAACTTATCAGCGAAGCTAAGATAGCTGAACAAGACTGAAACTCTTTATATGATTTCATCTACACAAGTCATAGACTTAAAAATAGCTGACGGATATAGGATCGCTTTCTAACATTTTTCAGATTCATATAATCAGCCCTCTTTTCTAGTATGGCTTTTCTCGAATGACAGCTGGTTACTTGCGTGATCTTTTTTCTGTTATTTATTTGAATATTGAGATATTTGTAAGAAATACAAAAAATTAAAGTATAGGACACGTTTCCATACAAAAACAAAAACGATCCTGGACGATTCGGTTGTTTCGGAATTCAGGAGTCTCGCGCAGCACTATTCTAAAGCCCTTGTAGTCTTTCAATTTCTAATTAACGTTGCGTGTTATATTTTTCTTCTTAAAACCGGACTGTAATCAAATTGATTATCGTATGTTAAAAAGTCTACCTAGAATAGTTTTAGAACATGTAGTTGGCTTAATAAAAACCATACTTGGTTAAATGAAAAGTTTTAAAAATCAAAAACTTATGAGAAATATTCATTTTGGTCAATTCTAAGTGATAACTGTTTACTGATTTTTTTTTCTATACAGCTCACGAAGCGACATCACTAAAAACAACACCTTTCTATGCTATTGACATTGCCTTACAACATACTCCTATTTGTTTTGCTCAATGTTATATTTCAACTGCGCTTACAAAAATGAATAGATTGACTGTGGTTCACTTGAACTCCCACATAATCTTTTACATCCAATTTTCAGATACACTCAAAAACTATATATAAAACATTTGTCTTATTGCTTTGTTCATATACAAACATATGACAGTAGCACTGAATATCTCATTTCAAATATTTCTTACAGTATTGAAAGTAATCATAAATCTGCTAAATATCAAACAATATTTGAAAGATCACTTCGACAATTCAAACTTTTCAAGTAAAATATTAGTAAAGATATATGATGATATTTATGTTTAAGCAAAATATATATAAATATTATTGTTATATAAAGATAGTTATTACAGATATTTTTCTTATTTATAAATCAAGATTATGTATTAAAAAAAAAGCAAAAACTAGTTTTTCTATCGTTTGCCTTTTTATTTTATTGATTCCGTACTTTTTTCTCTTGATATTCGTTCTACAGCAACACCAAATTTTATGTTTCGTTTATCTTAATCTTTCTTTTCGTTTCCTGCCGGTCTCGAAATCGATTCAAATGAAACAATATTCCTTGCCAATTTCAATTTGATTTTTTCTCTTTGAATACGTTCTACCCGAACAGATGATAATTGTGACGTTGTTTTGTGTTCCGAAACACTATTTAAGGAGAATAACTTGATTGTTTCAATTTGTGAAGGACGATGTTCATGTACTGATGCTCGATAAGTTGATCGAATATGTTTTACATGAATTTTGTCTTTGTTTTTCTTTAATAAACCAATTGAAGTTCGAGTTTCCACATGCTCATCTAATCGACTTGTATTTTCAATAATTGGTGGACGATAAATTTGTACTGATATTGAATCTACTTCTGTTAATGGGGAAGGTACATAAGTAACTCGAACAACATTCATAGAATCAACAACGGAATTTTCTTCATGTTGTTGTACTGATTTATTTTTCAGCGTATCTAGTCTTTTCTTTGTTGATGACTTTATTCGAGATACTTGTACAGTTGCACCATTGATCGGTCGTTGAACAGATGAATCAGCATTTTCATCAAATCTTCGAATCGGAGACTGAATACCTAGATTCAATATACTGTGCATTTTGTTTACTTTCTTAACTTTTGTTACAGATACATGATTAAAACCGACTGGTTTTAATCTAGTATTATTATTATTCATTGCTAAAAAATTCTTAGCATGAACATCAATCATGGATAGACGATTTTTATCTTCACTTGAATACGATGTAGTAGGTGTAAGTAACTTAAATAATTTTATATCATCATTTGTAGACTTTTTTGAATTTTCATTGAAAAGCCCATCAACAAGATATTTTTTTACGTTATTTGAAAGTATGCTGTTGGATGGAATTGATGCGCATGTCCATTGACATTCTCGATCAGTACATCGATCAATATGATATAATTCAAATGGACCATTTTCTTCATAGATTACCCAACTTGTCGGTATACTAAAAAAAACAAGAAACTGAACGAAAAAGGATTACATATAGTTGTTTAGAACAGACCAGCAATAGTGCCAACATAAAAAAATACAAAATATACACATACCAAGAACAATTAAACCAATAATGCTTCCAATTAGTGGCCAACTAATGGGATCGGCTATTCAAAAAGAAACAAAAGCTGTTAGTGCTATTCTTGCAAAATTAAACTGTGGAAGAAGATGTAGTTGCTCGTGTTTATCATAATAAGATTGTTTTAATCTTTATATTTCGATACACATTGTTTCAACATCATCGTACTCAATCCTGAAGAAATGCAATAAGGGAGTACCATTTACGCAAGAATGCAAGGCACTCGGACTTTTTTAGAATAGCTTTCCTTAGAAACAAGATAGAGATCTTCGATTTCCGACGTATAACAGCCACGAATCCAAGGGAATAATTTCATAAGTAAGATGTTTTATGAGAAAGTATCAGAAAAACAAGTTTATCAAGCTATTTTTAGAGAACCACGATAGATTTTTGAAAACTGCTATAGGAATCGATTGACTTTTTACGTAGGTAGATAACACCCAGTGTCCTCTACAAAACAAAATCTGTAGAAATGTTTTGTCTTGCGAGATTTAGAAGTATCAAACAATTTTCTCGAAGTCCGAAGACTCCTCTCTCTAGATAAGGTACTATTTTAAGGAATGAAAATATAGATTATCGATTATGCTGAACACCGTGTCACTATTGTTTTTTTATTTTAGAATAACATATTTTTATTAATTATATCTAAGTCTAATTAGTAAACAATATTTTCATATAAAAATGATCCTATGACGAATGTAGATGTGAGGTAAGCATGGGATGTGAATATGAGTCATCACTTTGTATATGCTCAAACAAACACTAATGATTGAACTTTTTCTTTTATGAAGAAAATTTTTTTTTCATATTTTGTATTGGATTCAAGCAAGAAGAGTACATAAGTGGTCAATAGAGTATTTGTTTATAGGGAAACATCATATACTACTTATGGTAATGTATGACTAATAAAAATATGTCGTTCTCAATAGAAAATAAATACTGTCACGACATTCAGCATAGTCGATAACCTATGCTTTCATGTCTTAAGCACAACTCCATATCTAAAGAAAAAAGTAGTCCTCGGACTTCGAGAAAAACGCTTTTGCACTTCTGAACTTTGCAAAGTAAAATACATGTACAGATCTAGTTTTCTAAGAGACATTCTGTGCTATATAATCAAGTAAAAACTAATAGACTCTTATGGTAGTTTTCAAAAAACTAATGCACTTTTCCAAAAATGCTTTGAAAAATTGATCTTCGAATATTTTCTTAGCAAAGATTATGGGTATGAAATTATATGCTTGAATCTTGGCAATCATAGATGGAAAACCACAGGTCTCTATCTTATTTCTGTGGAAATTTATTTAAAAAAAAATATCTGTGACGGTGTATGACAAAGAAGAAAAGTTGCTAGGTACCTGTCATATCTACAATGAGTGTTGTTAACACAAAGATTATGTCTGTAATGAGCCGCTTCTATTCTGTCTTCCATACGGTTCGTGTGAAGGGATAAGTCGAAGTTTTCTATTCTACGCACTTTAACACTCCTGTTGGGTCGTATCTCAGAACTAATCGATTTTTATATTTGAAGTAAAGAAAACTTCAGCCATACGTCTTTTTGTTGTTGTGGTCATTGTAGTAGTCGTCGTCCTATTTATAATATATAGTTCATAAATTTGAATAGCATAGATATCAACAAATTCTTACGAAGTACTTGTAGTTGATGTTGTCGATCTATAAATCAAATAAAATAAAATTCAAAAGCTAGTTAATCTAATGATAAAATACGTAGAAGTTGTTGATGTTGTTGATCTATAGAATTTTTTATTTTTTATTTTTATTCACTCAAAAAACCAACGACTCACGTTGTCGAAGTCGTAGTAGTAGTTGAACTATAATAAAAAGCAGTACATAATTGTTTTTTGCTTGGAAGCTAAGAATACATACGTTGATGTTGTAGATGTTGTAGTTGATGTTGTTGTTCTATAGAATTAATTACTTTTCTTCTTAAATAAAACAAAAGGATCAACTACTCACGTTGTTGAAGTTGTACTTGTAGTTGATCTATAATAAAAAGTATCATCTAATGGGGTTTTTATTTCAAGTAGCAAGACGTACGTGGATGTGGTATATGTTGTA